AGGAAAAATTAAAAAAATGCTTCGTCATGGTAATAAACCTTTATCACAATTATGCCGTCGACTAAATGAAGTACTTTCACTTGAAACTGAAAAAACAGCACTACCATTAATAAATATATTGAGAAAATTACGAATGGATAATTCTGGTAAAATACCAGTAAAAAGATTGCAATTTAAAGGTATCCTTCTGACAGATAAAGTACCAAATAATACTGTATTATTAAACAACAAAATTTTTCAAATTACCAGTATTTATATTCCACAAAATGGTGATGAAATGTCAATAGAAATAATGGGAATTATTTTAAAAAAAATTAAACCTTTATATACATATCCGTGTAATGCTGAAATAATGAAAATGTGGCGAGTCTCGAAAAGACATTCGAATATTTCAACGTATAAATTAATTGATATACAATTAAAAATGGTACAGATCAGTATAAGTAACGAAGTAGATGAAAAAATATATGTGTTACCCTTGCTTCATATGTAACACGTAACATTTAAAGTAAGTAAAACAAAATTAAATAATTAAATTATAATGTTTGGAAAGTGATTAATGTGATTACGGCACAAAAAATTATTAGTGAATATATGTATATATAATTCAAATTAATTTTTAGAAAGAAGTTTTTTCAGAGAGCTTAAATTTTATGAACTTTCAGAAAATGTTAGACTAGAACTACAATGGGAAAGATCATTCAATAACATTATGACTTTATTCTTTGTGATTTTGATAAATTTAATTTTTACACTTCCATTTTGCTACGTTTTTTTAAATTATTATTATTAGAGAAATTATCATCCGATAGTTTATACACTATAGTATTGTACGTTGCATTTACTTTTTTTAAATTTCAGGTACTTTATACTGTCTAGTTTTTGAATATCTTTAATTTTTTTTTGCTTAATTTTATGTGATGAAGATGGCAATGATTTAATATGTAAAATATTTAATGTTTATATATATGAAGGAGATTATAAATACTAAAAAAATATGTCACTCAAAAGGAGAAAGAAATAAATCATAAAATAGATCACTCAAAATTAGGAAAAAATAAATTATAACAATTAAAATAATATAATTTGTAAGTATTTAAAAATTGTAACTTGTACGGATATTTTTTAGAATTTATATTGATATTAATTTCGTCAAATTATTAAAAAACACATGCCTATAA